TAAAGATGTTATTCCACTGTCTTGTGGCCTCCATTTTTTTTTTTTAAGATGTAGGGTTTCCACATGGTGGCTCAAGCCTGTAATCCCAGCACTTTGGGAGGCCGAGGTGAAGGACTTGCCTGAGCTCATGAGTTGGAGAACAGCCTGACCAACTTGGGGAGACCTCACCTCTACAATAAATCAAAAAATTAGCCAGGGATGGGAGCTCGTGCCTGTAGTTTCAGCTACTTGGAAGGCTGAGGTGGAAGATCGCCTGAGCCCAGCAGTTCAACGGTGGGGTGGCCATGAGCATGCCTCTGCATTCCAGACTGGGCAATGGAGTGAGACTCCAACTCAGGAAAAAAAAAGATGTGGGGTACAATTCAGGGTTAGTTGTACAAATGTTCATTATGCAGGTACCCTTGTTGATAAGGTGTGCCCCCCCACCACCGGCAGTTTCCCACTACTACCAATCCTTTTCTTATAGTAGTACAATAATTGTTCAAGGTCCACTTATGAATAAGAACATGTGATACTCAATTCTTTGTTTCTGTGATAGGTTACTCAGTATTATAGACTCTAAGTGCATCCAAGTGGCTGTGAAGTTCATAATTTTGTCCTTTATGGCTGCATAATATTCCTTGTGTATATATACCACTTTTTTTATCCAGTCCTCTTTCGATGGGCAACACGGTTGGTTTCATGTTTTTGCTATTGTGAACAATGCTGCAATGAACCTACGTGTACAGGTATCTTTTTCATAAAGTGATTTGAGTTCCTCTGGGTATATTCCCAGTAGGCGGATTACGGGGTCGAATGGAAGGTCAATTTATAGGTCTTTTAGGAATTGCCAAACTGTTTTCCATAGAGGTTAAATTAGTTTACACTCCCACCAACAGTGTAGAAGTGTTCCCTTTTCCCCGCATCCTCTCTCGCATCTGTTGTTATTGATGATGGCTATCCTGACTGAGGTTAGGTGGACTCTCAGTGTAGTTTTAATTTGCATTTCTTTAATGACTAGTGAGGCTGAGCATTTTTTCATGTATCTGTTGGCTGCTCATATGTCTTCTTTTGAGAAGTGTCTGTTATATCTTTTGCCCACTTTGTAATGGGACTGTTTTTTTTCTTTTAGTACATGTGAGTTCCTTGTAGATCCTAGATGTTAGGCCTTTGTCAGACATACAGTTGGCAAATATTTTTTTCCAGTCATTTGGCTGTCTCCCTGCTCTCTTGATGGTTTCTTTGGCTTTGCAGAAGCTTGTCAGTTTGATGAGGTCCCATTTGTCTATCTTATCTCTTATGGCATGGGCACTTGGGGTTTTGGTCAGGAATTGGTTGCCAGTTCCAATTTCAATAAGGATGTCTCCTGCATTTTCTAAGGTTCCTATAGTTTGAGATTTTACATTTAGGTCTTCGATCAATTTAGAGTTGATTTTTGTGCATGGTGATAGTTAGTGGTCTTGTTTTAATCTTCTGCATGTGGTCAGCCAGTTTTCCCAGCACCATTTACTAAATAGGTTCTCCTCTCCCCTGTGTTTGGTGGTGGAGGCTTTGTTGAAGATGAGTTGGCTGAGAAATTGAGGTTTTGCTTCTGGAATCTCTAACCTGTTCCATAGGTCTGTATACCTGTTCTGTACAAATACCAGGTTGTTTTGATTATTGTAGCTGTATAATAAAATTTAAAGTCTGGGAGTGTGATACCTCCCACTTTGTTTTTTTGGTTTTTGCTGAGGATTGTTGTGGCTATTCAAGGTTGTTTATGTTTCCATATGAACTCCTGTATTGTTTCCAGGTTTGAGAAGAATGCTGCTGGTAATTTAATGGATATTGCATTAAACCTGCGATTGCCTTGGGTAGGATGGACATCTTAACAATGTTGATTCTTCCAATCCATGAGCATGGAATATTTTTCCATTTATTTATGTCATCTTTGATTTCTTTGAGCAGTGTTTTGTAGTTTTCATTGTAAAGGTCTTTCACATCTCTGGTTAGGAAGATGCCAAGGTAATTTCATCTTTTGTATGTGGCTATTGTGAATGGGATTGTGCTTTTTATTTGGGTTTCTGTTTGTTTATTTTTGGCTTATTATAGAAATGTGATTGTCTTTTACACATTTATTTTATACCCTGAGACTTTGCCAAAGTCCTTTATCAGTGCAAGGAGGTTTTTTGACAGATTCTCTTGGGTTTTCGAGGTATAGAATCATGCTGACTGAAGAGAGGTAACTTGAATTCCTCTTTTCCTTTTTGGATACCCCTCATCTTCTTCTCTTGTCTGATTACTCCAGCTAGGACTTCCAATTTAAGCAATTAAAAAGTAAAATAGATATGGAAGGTCACTACATAATGTTAAAAGGTTCAGTCCATCAACAAGAAATATCCATCCTAAATGTTGTTTCTGATAGGAAGTCAAAAGTCACTCAGGAATTTAGTAGTCATTCAAGTCAATAGAGCAATATATAATGTACCATTTCTTTCTGGCTGCTTTCAGTATTTTAAGATTATGATATACCTGTTGACTTCTGTGTACTTACTTTGCTTGGGGAACAAAGAGCTTCCTGACTGTAAATGTATGCCTTTACCAATTTGGGCAATTTTCAGCCATTATTTAGTTTTTGAAAATATGTGTGTATATATATATATATATATATATATATCTCTCTTTTGAGTTGAAGTCTCACTCTGTTGCCCAGGCTAGAGTGCAGTGGCACACTTACAGCCACTCCAGAATCAACCTGCTGGGCTCCGGCAATCCTTCCACCTCAGCCTTACAAGTGACCACAGGCATGAACTACCATGCCTGGCTAATTTTTTATTTATTGTAGAGATGAGGTCTCGCCAAGTTGCCCAGGCTGGTCTCAAACCCATGGGCTCAAGCAGTCCACTCACCTCGGCCTCCCAAAGTGCTGGAATTACAGGCTGAGCCACCGAACCCAGCCTATTCAAATATTTGTATGCCCAGTTTTCTTTCTCCTCCTCTTTTTTTGGAATTCTATTTACATATATGTTTGACTTTGTATACTGTCCCACAAATCCCCGAGGATTCTGTTATTCAAAATATACAATTTGTGCCTTATCTTCAGTTTCACTAAGTCTCTCTCTGTTATCTCTATTGTACATTTTAAATAATGTTGTATTTATCAATTCTACAATTTTTATTCAGTTCATTTTTAACATTTTTAATTTTTCTGCTGATATTTCCCTATCTTTTCATTCATTGTGAGCATAGTTTTCTTTACTTCATTGATGATAGTTATAGCTGCTTTTAAAACCTTTTATGTTAATCACAACATATGGATCATCTCACTGTTAGTTGCCATTGATTGTCTTTTCCCCAGAAAATGTGTCACATATTTCTGTTTCATATATTCACTAATTTTATATTGCATTCTCAATGTTATGAATGTTATGTCTTGGAAACCGAATTCCCTTTCTCTTCAGAGTGTTGATTTAAGGGTATATTAAGCAATTACTTGGTTAGACTCAAACTTCAAGCTTTTAGTTGGGCAGAGACTCAAATCTTGCTTCTTAGTCTCTCTCATTCATAAGTGGTTCAGGGTTTCACGAGAGATTTTAGGAAAAGTCAATACAGATTGAGCATCCCTAATCCAAAAACTTGAAATGCTCCAATACTCAAAGTTTTTTGAGTGTCACATGAGATAGTGACACCTTTCTTTTTGATGGCTCAGGCACACAAACTTTGTTTCATGCACAATGTTATTTAAAATATATAAAGTTACCTTTAGCCTGTGTGTGTAAGGTGTATATGAAACATAAATTAATTTGTTTAGATTTGGGTCCTATTCCTAAGATCTCATTATGTATATATGCAGATATTCAAAATTTTTTAAAAATCTTAAACCCAAAACTTTTTATTTGTACTGTTTAACAAATAAAAAAAAAAAAACATAAATTTTATTCATTTTGAGTAGGGGATACTCAACCTGTGCACAGAATTCAGGTCTGTCATTGTCACTTTTCCAGGATTTCTTCCTCATTTTCCAGTAGTTTTAATTGCCCCAAACACTTTCCTCTGATTGAACAAGAAGCACCACAAGTTTTCTATCACAGTTCTAGCTGGCCAGTATAGCACCAACTATGGCCTGCCTTCAGTCTAAGAACAACAAAACCAAGGAACTCACCCAGTGTGCATCTTCCCTCCAAGTGTTAACTTCCTCCAGAATCTGCTTGCTTTCAGTTGCTCTCTCCTACTTTTGGGTAATTAATTTTTAATTTTATTTAAAGTTTATAATTGTTATTTCTCAAAAAGCATGGCATTTACCAAAGAAGCCTTCCAAAATTGAAAGCCTTTTCTTTTGCTTTATTGATATTTTGGAAGTATAAAAATATGTAAAGAACTGTTAGTAAGCCGGGCTCGGTGGCTCAGCCTGTAATCCCACACCTTTGAGAGGCTGAGGTGAGTGGATTGCCTGAGCCCGCGGGTTCGAGACCTGCCTGGGCAGCGAGACTTCATCTCTACAATAAATCAAAAAATCAGCTGGGCGTGGTAGCGCATGCCTGTAATTCTGGCTACTCGGAAGGCTGAGGCGGAGGGATCGCTGGAGCCCAGCAGGCGAGGCTGCGGTGACCGGAAGTGGCCACTGCACTCCAGTCTGGGCGACCGAGTGAGACTTCAACTCAAAAAAAAAATAAACTGTTAGTAGTTAAGTAACTCATGGCACTTTTCTTTACATTTTTATAAAGTTAATAGTAGTTTCTTTATTCCCGGGGTTTTTGTTTTCCATGAGTTAATTCGCACCTAATGCTTACATTTCTTTACTATGATAGTGTTTATTACAGTTCAGTTTTTAAATATCTACAAATATTAAATATTTGAGTTAGTGATAAACAAAAATACAATTAAAATACATTATTATTCTAGGAATCCAGTGAATAAAATAGGAAGCCTAAATTTTACCATGATGAAAGTGTAATTTAAGATGTTTACAAATATGTTTAAATGTATAAGCTTCTTTTGGGGTTAAAAAAAGTTATATGTATGATTTTTTTGTTTTGTTTCAGTTGTCACAACTTGGACAAAAATAACAGAGAAGAACTGTGCTATGATAATCTACTTGGAATGTGGATAAATGTAAAAAGAAAAGTCAAAAGAGCCAGATGTTTCCTTCTTCATTACTATGTCCTAACAGTGAAATTCAGAGTTATTTGTTAATTTTTAAGAAAATTCTATACTTAATGTGTACTGATTAAAAAAATAAAGCATTTCAGAAATAAAATTTTAATATCACTGATTCTCCTGTCTGACAAATCAAAAAGCACTTTGGAAGAAAAGCTCTATCTGAATAACATTAGCATATTAATACTATGTTAATATTCTCTATAGCAACTAATAGATTATGATTAAAGTTGTTTATGAATCCCCTAGTTATATTCATTTTAATTTTACAATTACTTTCTCATTGTTGGTTTTCCATGTTGCCTCTAGATTTGAGGTGGAGATTTTAAAGCCACTTTGTCTCTTCTCTGTACATTTTATCACATAAAGTCTCCTTTACATAATGGTAACAGAGCAATACTAACATGATTTGGAATGGATAAATACAAAACATTCATCCCAGAAAGTTCTAAATAATAATAAAAGGGTTAAACTTGATTCCAGGCTTCTTGGTATATAGCACCAACAAGAAAGGTTAGTCAGTCATACCAGGACCCAAAGAGAAAACAAATTTATTTATTTAAAATTGTATATTTAGTCTTTTCTTTTTTTTTTTTTTTTTGAGTTGGAGTCTCACTCTGGTCGCCCAGCTAGGAGTGCAGTGGCACCGCAGCCTCGACATGCTGAGCTTAGGTGATCCTTCCACTCAGACTTCCAAGCAGTGGAAGTCTACAGATGCACGCATCTGCAGATGCACGCCACCATACCCAGCTAGTTTTTGTGATATATTGTAGAGATGAGGGCTTACCAAGTTGCCCAGGCGGGTCTCAGGCAATCCTCTTGCCTCAGCCTTCCAAAGTGCTGGGGCTACAGGCTGAGCTACCACACCTGGCCTGTATATTTATTCTTACGTGTTTAAACTTCAGTCATCTTCAGAGTACTCTCTGATGCTTTTTTTTCACTGCTCAAAACAGTTTTGATCTCATCCGTTTTGACGCCTTTTTGTGCTTCTGCCATTTTTGGTTAACCCTTTCCACATGGGCAAAAGGTTTACCTTTAAGGACTTTTCATCTGAGGAAACAAAAGTTGCTTGGGTGAGACTGGGTGAATAGGGAGGGTGGAGTATGGGGATCATGTCATTTTGGGTCAAAACCTGCTGAACACTCAGCATGGTGTGGGGAGGTTCATGTAAATTACCCATCAGGAGGTGAGCAAATGCACTGAAAGAATCTCAGGAAAAAAAAAAACTCACTGAAGTCGAAAACAGCCTTTCACAACACAACACTAGCTGGTACACTGATGCCAATGAGTTCCCAAAAACACTTAACTAACAGGGGAAGCCTGTGCAACAAGGACCCGCCCTCCAAAATATAATTCCAGTTTTTGGGGGATTCCCTCCTCATACAACTCAAGGCATCCATAAGATAAAAAGCCAAACCAGTTGCTGGGGGGGGAGGGGAACGACACTGCCCATATTATAAATGCCAGGGAGCTTACCCTCCTAATAATTTTTACATCAAATGTAAACAAACATCCACCTTAGGTGTTAACAACAAAAAAAAAAGGCAATGTGGAAATGTGTTTAGGACAAGCACAAAATGGCAGAGAATAGCTCACACCAAGTGTGTTATCATCATTGCCTCTCTTGATGCCAGCAACATGCATCACACATTCACTTTCAGTGCTCACCGTGCTTTCAAAACTTCTACAATGTTCCTGATATTCTACCAGTAGTATTTTTAATGTAATTTGAGACTCTTCTGGCACATAATTTTGCTTAAATGTACTGAGTCTTGTGGACATACCTATAAAATTTCCATATGTGAACATTAGTCAAAAATACCTCTTCAAGAAATAAATTATGTGAAAATTTGGATATTAATATTCAAGATCCTTTCTAAGAAGAAAACAGATTCTATGAGAGTGCACAATACAAAAGATAAGTTAGAAAATATGTGTAGAGAATAGAAAACTATAAAAGTATATTGGGAAAAAAATCTAGAAGTTAAAATATACTAGAAAATATTCTCTTTTTCATGGGCTTTCACTTTGGCGGGCTTTTCTGTTCAAATTTCAGAGGGAACTAATCAAAATGAAATCCTGTAAGCCACTCAGCGAATAGGACATGTAAATGAAGGGATTTTGTAGCAACTCTAATCAACAAATAGGACATGCAAAAGAACTAATTACATGACCCAATCTATGTATGCCATGTAGGCAAAGTCCAGGAAAGCATTGTGACCTCTGGAATGCCCAGCCCATGGGAGAACAGGGGAGGGACTATGCAGTCTAGGTTACCAATATGCTAACTGTAACAGCTCTGGTGTGCCTGCCCACCAGACACCTGATCTTGCAAGACTGCCATTAAAGTCTTGCTTCTACTGCACTCCATGTCTGTGTGTCTATCCTTTGATTTTGGGCAGGTGAGTCTGTTTCTCACCATTTAGGGGCTTGTCCGGGATACTCTGCATCTGCAGGAGGGGGATCCCAGCAGAGGGATTTCAGGTGACCTACTCTGCTTGGGTGTCTCAGTGCTCACAGGACTGCAGATAAGCCTGAGACTATTGTTCTGAAGGCAGAAGAAGTGACACAGAAAAAAAAGGCACCATGGCAACCAGGCTGTAAGGTAAATGAAACCAGACCAGGCGAAATGGCAACAAAGGAGCCAAGAAAAATTATTAGCTCAGTCCCGGGCGAGGTTCACCCGTCCATGTAGCTGTGGGCTAGAGAAGTCACGCTCAGCAAGATGGGTGACAGGTTTATAAAGGGCACACTGAGAAAGCTGTGAGGGGGTCGGGGAGAGCAATCACTGGTTGGGACAGCTGTCACGTCTGCTGGCGATTGGCTGAACGGGGTTGCTAGAGTCGCTGTAACAGGTACTGGCTGGCTTTGCAGCTGGAGTCTCAGTTCCGGTTACTCATTTTTGCTGGCTCACTCTCGCCCATTGTTCTCCTGGTCCGGGTTGGAGCCATCTTGTTGAGGCCCGCCCTGCCCTCCGGTACCTCCGGTCTTACACAGGCAACCTTGTGTACGAACCAGGTAGGAAAAATGGGACTGTAAGTACTGCCTTGGGGCATTCTCGGAGAGTGAGTGAGTGTGTGTGTGTGTGTGCGTGTGTGTGTGTGTGTGTGTGTGTGTGTGTGCGTGTGTGTGTCTGAAACGTATCTCAAGATACGAACCAATCAAGTCTCCATCCGCATTTTCATTGTCCTGCGAGGGTAATGGCTGGAGAGGGACAAAATGGATCCTGAAGTTTGCAGAAACCTCCAATAAGGGAGGTTGAGCACCTCAAGAAACAACTGGAGTCTTAAGGGTTGCGAGAAACTTCCAGTAAGGGAAGTTGAGCATCCTTTTGGGAAACTCCAAAATTGCACAGCTTACCTGGTAACCCAGAATGGGCAATAAACAGTCCAAGCCTGGGAAGGGAGGTCAGGAAAGCTCCCTTAAAGTTTCCCCAGATAGTGCATTGGGGCGAATGTTGGAAAACTGGAAAGATGATTCCAGGACTAGGAAAAAGGGCAAAATAAAAATTCTCCCTCTGGAAAAAAAAAAATTCTCCCTCTGACATGACCGTGGATAATCCATTGGGGAAATGTTGAGGTCTTGGGGAGATAGCCCTTGTCCCAAGAACAAGGGGAAGGATCAGGAGGGCTGCAATGTCTGTACGGACACAGGGACACCCTCCAGGGCTGGGCCCTCAACCAGCTAAGCAGAAGTAGATCCTGGGTGGGATTGCAATGATCGAAAGGATACCACAAAAATACAGGGTCCGAGGGGGTTAATCATTAAGGCAATCCGAGAATCAGCCCTTAGGTCTTAGGATGTCTCTAAGGCTTTTGTGACTCAACAAGAGAAGGAAAAAAGAAAACAAAAAACCAACAGGCCCATCAGAGACCTGGTAAGAATGAACTTGACAACATCCCAGATGAATATTAGGGTGCTGGAACCCAAATTAGTTTTCTAATTAACACAGGTGCCAGTCGATTGGTCCTGGTCATCCATGTTAGAATTATAAATTTCAGTGTCCAAATGGTTAACCTGCAACTACAGGGTTAAATAGAGGCTTCTAAACTCTGTTTCTCTCTTTTCTACTTGCTTTGAATCTGCTAACAACTAAGCTACTGGTGTTGAGATAAGCTCACTGTTTCAAGGTTAAAAAATTTTTTTTGTTTTTCTTACACAGTTCAGCCAGTTTTAACTAAAATGTAAACATTGAAAAATCATTTAAAACTTAAAAAAAAATGGTTTTAAAAGTTTTTAAAAATTAAACTACCATGAAGACTGCTTTACCCCAATTTTGGTCCACAGCATTTATTGGACTGACTATTGGGGCAAACAAAGTTTAGCCATACAAACAGGTTCCAATTTTGTCAGAAATACAGTTTAAACTTGGGTGTCTTTTGTAAAATGGTGAGTTCATTGCGATTTCATGGCTGAAGTTTGGAGGTTAAGGTTGTTAAATCTTTGTGTGTGTGTATGTATGTTTGAACGCATGTATGTGCACATTATGTGTTTTGTCCAGTATGCTACCAAATTGGCTACTAAGTAAATGAGTACTCATAAAATAAATAAATCTAAATGCTTTTCAAGTTCATGTGATTTGAATCTTTGGTAAATAAAAACGTGTTTAAAATTATTAACAAAATGAAAAGTGTCTTTGGAATTGTCAGCATACATTTTTGTCTGGGTCTATTAATTAAGTCTTGCATTTGCCTCTGCTGAATAGTTTAAGTATCAAGATTTGACATGAAAGTTATAAAACTATAAACCTAGCCAAAACCAAAATGATTTTTATTTGCATAAATGTTTTTGTTACAAGTACAACGAATTTAAAATTGTTGGTTCCAAACAAAAAAACCAGCTAAACCTTCTAAATTATCAATAAAATGTTTATGTATTTAACTTTAAGGTTCTTACTTAGGTAACATCTGATGTTCACAGGCTTTAAAAATGATTAGCCAGGAGATAAAATAATAGCTGGCCTTATTTAAGATCTCAGTTTTCATAAATAATTAAGCAAACTGCTATGAATAAATAAATATGAATAAAATAATGCTTATGGATAAGCTCTTCATGTAATTTGAAAATCTTAAAATTATTTTAAAAGTTCATTAAATGTCTGGTTTTTCTTTTCTTTTTTTTTTTTTTTTTTTTTTGAGTTGGAGTCTCACTCTGTCGCCCAGACTGGAGTGCAGTGGCCGCTCCCGGCCACCTCAACCTCGACCTGCTGCTGGGCTCTGGCAATCCTTCTGCCTCAGCCTTCCAAGTA